ACGTATATAACTTATATTGAATTTATTATAATCGTTATTTCATAAATATTATCAATTTATACTTTTATTATTTAAGAATTTCAAAAATAAAGTAAATGTGTATTGTTGATAACTGATTTAAATTAGAATTACCATACTTAACAAAACGATACGATATTAAACTCTTCAACAGGTGAATACTTAATTTGTTATAGACAGCTGCTCACCCCGCCTGTACATTATTAAAAACTACCACTGTCTATCGAAATGTTAAAGTAGGTATTACAAAGTTTGGAATTCATTAAGTATGCTACCAACACAATTTTCTTTGCTATCTAAAATTCATTTAAATACCTTCATCATCATATTACATGCTACAAGAAAAATGAATAATCAGTCATTAGTTATATTTTGATAGTTTAATTGTTTGATACCTATCAACCAGAATTTTGTTTTGGAGGGATAAGACTTAATACAATTTTTAAGTAGTAATAGTATTTATTTTTGAATATGTACAGAAAGCACAATMTTGGTTAGATAGTTGATAATTTTACCTAAYAAAATTACCAAAACGATAGGGGCAAATTATTTTATGGGGGCTTAAGCCTATTAGCTCCTCTCTATTGGATGCACTAATACTAGCTAATAATGAAGTGATTTCAAGTTAAGAACATTTTATAATGAATATAATATTATAATTTTTGATTATTATTAAGATAGTAGTAAAATACATAAAACTGTCAAAACTGTCAAAACTGTCAAAACTGTCAAAACTGCAATAATATTTAAGTGTGAATTTTATGTGTTATCTATTGTATCCATATTATGTTGAGCTAATGTAACGCAAAAGGGTAAAATAATCATAAATTTGTGTATTTTTTTAATACTAGTAAATTTTTAAAGTTCAATATGTAAAAGTAGAATAATCTTTTGGGCACGACATCATTGTATTGTAATATTTGTAACACGTTCATATTTAATAGGTAAAAAGTATCATGATATTAACTTACGTCGTRAATTCGTGATGATTACATAACRGATTTTATATTAAACATTTTCATCGAAACAATAACCTCATTTATCTACTTACAAAATCCACAGAATAATTATTATATAATWATTAATCACACATAAACGGCACTTATGCGGGCATAGTTGATAGGTACAAAGGTAATTTAATGGTTACAATTAAATTAATCGCGAGAATATTCTACAATTATTATCATTTGTATAAGATATAAATATTTACGGAGCTTAAAATACTATAATATATTAATATTCCGATTCAGCAGGTATATTGAGTGAAAAAAAAATGTGCGGTCGCTATACATTACAACATAATAGTGCCGCCAGTGTATATTATTATGATCGTCAATGGTGGTCTCAGGTTTATTGTTCATTATGACATTAGCTATATTATACAGCGTGGTTTACGATGCTCGTCCGATTCTGCGAATCTGTATACAAATAGACATTTGTTGAAATATTGTTTGTAATTCGAAACGACAGGCAGCGAAACATTCATTGTATAACAAAACTAACAAGTAACAATACATACCTACTTTATGTTGTATATTTTAAGTATATGGATCATCCTGCTATCTCTATCAATGAGACTGCAGCCGCTGAATAATATGATGACAAAGCTATTATCTAGTCCATGATAGAAACCCATTACCGTCAGTTTCCAATAGTTTTCAATTATTCAATCTAAAAATTAAAATCGTAGTAGGTATGCCAAAGGTGGAATGTAATGAAAATAAATCATGCCACATTATGTTCACGTGCTCTCAAACATGACTTTTGTCCTTAAATAACATTATAATAATCGTTTYAGATACATAAAATACCTTGGAGTAAACTTCGAAAAATACTAATATACGAGTGCACATCATAAATTACTTACACTGCACAAAATATAATTGATTTTTCGATACCACCTAAATAGAAAATGTATCCACTTCTAAAATCTAAACCAACATCCTGTACACAATTAAATCTCCTTACACCTTTTTTAATGGACAAACACTTTTTTTTAAACATATGTAATTCAAATTTGCGGCTCCGATAAAAACGCCAACATAAATTAAATTCAAAAAACACAAAACAGAACCTTCAGATTAATCATTTAAATGCTCCATTTGATGACAAAAATAATACCTTTAAACGATAACAATTGTAGAAACTGTCCAAAAATAATTTTCCCGTTACTATAAGTTTTTAAATGATCACCAAAATATTGTCGACAAAAAATGATTCCAACCAATCCCTGGCAATCCCTCTCCTCAATTAAAAATAATCTGATAAACCATTCACTATTTATCATCTTTTTTTTGCAATTTAAAACCGTAGAAGTGTAGTATAGTAGGCGTTTTCTTGAAATAAAGTCTTTTGTCAGCATTAAGCCGTTCTAAAATTTCCCTTATGCGTATTAAACCTAATTTATATAGATTGTGGAAATAAATTAAAGAATAGTATATATGACTTAATTCGATAATATCCGTCTTAAGATAATAATTAGTTATGTCGTTTATATAAGTTGGTTGGATACCTTCTTCACTTCTTGGATATATCGTCAGGTTACGATGGAAATTCAAGTTTGTCTTGTAAAAAGTTTYTAATTGAATGGGAAAACACCGACGGCGGAGAGAAAATATTATGCACGTGACTCGCAGCGGTATGCAAAATATCTCCTTATTCTCCTTATTGTTAGACCGTGGCATGGGGTGGTGGATAGGAATTAACAACATCAGCGATTGTTTGATTTGGAATCTGGTAGTGTATACGGTGCAGGGATTAGTGAAGAAAAAAATTGTAGTTTATGATTTACACCAAAATAGAAAGTAATAAATATATTATTCTAACACAATCCTTATTTATCTAAATGACATCATATGTGAGTGTAGTTGAGCTTTACTTTTTCTAGAACACGTATACAATATCTGTATTTTGAGACACTGCAGATCACAGATTGTGTCACGAAAATAATAAGAACTTTTCGCCAAATGTTGATGAAAATTTTAAAAAGAATAGAACAATAGCATTTACCATTTAAATTGTTATTTTGTGCATTATAAATTATAATACTGTTGCCTGTCGGTGTTCATAATACATATAGATYGAATTTTTCCGAAATTAAAATAATTGTTTTCGCATCTTGMATGATAATAGTGTAATTTGAATGGTGTTCAAATCTGATAAATTTTAATTAGATACCTTTTACTTTTTTTTACTATACGAATACGATATGTTGATACAGGAATATAATAAATAATGATTATATAATATACTAATAAATATATATATAATAACTATACTATTTATAAAAAAATTGTTTATAATATTTTGAATTCTATATACTTGATTCTACATAATTGTACCTACATAGTCTTTGAGTTGATATAATTTATAATTATAACTAACTACGCATTTTCTAAAATGTGATAAAATTGTTAATTTATCCTACACGGAGTTATTTGATTTTTGATTCAAAACATTACAATTTCAAAATTAATACGTTTTAATTATTTTTTTCTTGGCCAAAATAATTCATTTTTACTAAATCTAAGTTCAAAGTTTTAAAAGTATATCCTATAGTGGGTAGGTACAGATCATATTTTATTTTAGTATTTATTTAGTAGTATAGTTTTATTTATTATACTAAATAATGTATATGATTGTTCCACCAAAATTGCATCAAACTCTTCAACTATTGTTATAATATATTCCAAATTGTCCATACAAAATTCCCTTACTATTCGGTTTAGATGGCCCATATATAAGCGGTGAACATTTATACTATTATCATACAGTTTATTTTGGTAATTGAATAATAAATTGTAAAGGTTAAGCRATGTCCTAATTAATCGGTGTCTCTATTAAGAGGACGCTACACAACCATTTGTTGTCTACATCTTATAAGTTCATACCATTTATGGTCAATTTACGGTCAGCTGCAGATCACGTTTAGCTCCGTTACTTTAAAAATTAGAGTAAATCCATCTATTATGAAATTTGATGGTAAGAACATTATCTGTGTTTGTATGTGGGTTTCACAATAATTCAATTTTGTAGCTAATTATGTGTATGTAAAAAAGCGTAAATTAAAATGCTCATAACTCACTTACAAATTAAGGTATCGTAAAAAACCCACATGCAAACGCAGATAATGTTCTTACCATCAAATTTCATAATAAGTCAATTTACTCTAATTTTTAACCTAATAGAATAAAACGTGATCTGCTATGTGTAAATTTGCCATGTTACGCACTTGAAAGACGAAGACAACAAGTATATATATGTAGCGTCTTCTTAGCGGAGTCTACTATTTATATATAAATATAAAATAGGTGCAAATCTTCTTAATAATAGCACTCGTCTTGTACATATTGTGTGCTACACTTTTATGTTTTATATTACACTGGAGCCTCCCATAATGTCACCTCTGAATAGCGGACACAATGACTCACCCGAATTGCGTGCATAATAATTTCCATGACAAAGAGTGTTCGGTATTTAGAGGTCTCACACGTGTTTATTAATGCCTAATTTTTGTTCTACTGCCCTTTATATAGAATAATAAGGTCTGGTAGATGGTACTAGAAGAGTGGTATTAAATAATTTATGTATAATATAATACGATGTTTTTTTTTTTATTAAAGAGTATGTTATCGTCACATGAAATAACTAAAATAAAATATAATGTTATAATATATACTTAAATTGTAGCTCTATACAAAAATAATAATAATAATAATATAATATCAAGGAGTTCGGATGTCGCCGAAACCGGAATAAAAATACGATTAAATTTCGTTCACCCGTCGGGCCCACCCCCGCGTGTGCTAGAGCGACGCGTCCCGCCAAAAGCCGACGCGATCCGAACCTTTGCCGTTGGTACTTACCTACCTACCTGCCTACCAATAACACATTTACCGACGAGCGTACGTCGACGACGCGCGACGTACGCCGCTGCCGTGGCGTATTATTATTATTATTATTATTATTATTACTATTACCGCACCACTACGGCGCCGGACCCCGCGAGCGCTGTTCACTTGTGCGTATTGTTTTCGCGCCTCTGAACATCGGAAGTTCCGGCGTGCACAGTTTGCCGAGCAACCCGCCGGCATGGCCGTCGGCCCGACTAAGAAACGACATACGAGTAATAACAATATTATACGCGGCCGTTGAAAAATACAATAATATATAATATACCTATAATAACCGCGTATTACGACGACGATGATGACAATAAGCTCGTTAATAAAATTATGCGCTGGCGACGGATTTAAATTGAACGAAATTGATACGGACAATTTTAAATGCAATTCGTAGTACCACGGGAGGTATATGTGCAATATTTATATCTGAAGAAAAATTACAGTCTATATTGGATCACACCTCGGCGTACACATAAAATATTATAATAATATATTATTATACCTATCGTCACCGTCACTTAATATTTACGTTCACGGATCATATGGAAATAGAACGTAGCCAATCAAATCATTAGTAATGTAATATTATTCAAGTATAATATTGTACACGCGTTTTGTTATAAATCCATTCATAGTCATAAACGGACGTTTTTGGGCGGCATGATACGTTCAAATGAAGTTTTCATTTCTTATCTACTCATTATGCTACAAGGTAAGACGTGGCTACTATAGTTGTACCTATATATTATAGTTATTTTGTTCTCATTTCTAATTCTAATTCTAATTATTGTTATGGACTT